GCTCAACCCACTCCGTTGCTGCCCACCCACTACCCACCACCCACCTGCACAGGATGGGAAGTAGCAGCTCAGTGGGATCTGCTCTCCTCTCCTCTGCCACATGCTGCTACCCATGAAACATGTAGCCCAAACAAACAAGTATGTGACTGCCTAACACCCTCTCACTTCTCTGTGAATCTGAGTCAAAACTGTGCCCTAAGCCAGCATTTTCTGTTGTTTGTGTTGGTTTATTACACAGTGTCTGGAAAGGAAAAATACAGCAAAACATTACTAATTGGCAGGAGTCACAGTAGGGCCTAAAACAACATTTAACATTTTTAAAAATAAATTGATCAGAGTACAAGATGATGGTTTGTCTTGAAACTCATACACACATTTATATGTATTTATATTTACCAAAAATATATAATTTTTGTATTTATATAAACCAAAAAAGCAAGAATAAGTTGTCTGGCAGAAGACAAGAGAAAGGTCCAGGGAAGCACTGATTAGTATGTTCTTCACAGGTATCAAAGGGAGCAAACACAGTGCTTGAGACTCACCATGTGTTCAAACATAAAAGCCAATGGATGATTCCGTGTGATCTGAGCCACTTGGTCTACCAGCTGGGAACAACACCACTGTCACCAGCAGAAAACTAAGGCAGGTCAGAACATTGCTAATCAGGGTTTGAAGTTGACAGGTAGAAGTACTACCCCTTCTTCCCCCCCCCGCCCCCCCAGCATTCCTTGATTTAAAAAGTAACAGTTTGGGACATCATGCTGTGTCACTTTGCAGTATGCCTTGGGTTTCTTTACAGAACACTACACTGCAACTTTTGTCAATGTAAAGTGACATTTAAAATGTTGATTCTCTTTAGCTGAGCCTAGAGCTTTGGGTTATTTAGAAGTAAATATCTGAAAGAAAATATCAAAATATTTTGAGGATTCCATCTATTATATTGCTTCCCAAGAACATTAGAAAGATAAAAAAATATTTATTTTAAATATAGGACTACAGTATTTTTTTTTTAGAGCCAGATTTTTAAAGCCATTTAGGTGCCTACTTCCTATTGATTTCAGTGGGAGATAGATACCTCAATTAACTTTAAAAATCTGGCCCTGGATGCATTGCATTTCCCAACTATAATAAGCCTTTATTCTTTATATGAATTACCAATTTATTTTTAAGAGAAGATGAAGTTATTTTGCATTCTAAGACCTGGATCCAGCAAAGCACTTAGGTGCATGGCTATTTTGACTTCAATGGGATGACTCACATGCTTAAAATGAAGCACCTGTTTAAACACTTTGCAGGACTGGAGTTTAAGGGCCTAGCTTCACTAGACAAGGACATCCTAGCAGTGCTGCTGCATGAATCATTGGCTTCAGGGTTTGTGCCTGTAATTGTAATTGTCACACTCCAAATCTCCAGATTTGGGTTTGTGCTGATCACTGAACAAACGTAGAGTAATTTCCCTGGGCAACCACAGCAATTACTTACATGGAAAAACAACGAGGAGTCCTTGTGTCCTTCTTTTGGTAACCCTCAGTGGGATCAGAGGGTAATGGCCTGTAGAATGTGGTGTCAGAGAGTTGCCTAGCAACCTCTCATTCATATTCTGACCTATTCATGATGACTACAGCTCCTTTGTCAGCCTTTTTGATTATAATGTCAGAGTTGTTTCTGAGGCTGTGGATGGTGTTGTGTTCTGCATAGCTGAGGTTATGCTGCTTTTCCACAATTTCAGCCTGTGCACATCGGCAGAAGCACTCTTTGCAGAAGTCCAATCTGTTTTTTCGACCTTCAGGAGGAGTACACGCAGAATCCTTCTATTTGTAGCTTTGGTAGGAAGGTTTCTGCGGGTTAGTGTGCTGTTCAGTGGTGTGTTGGAAATATTCCTTGAGTTGGAGATGGCAAAAGTAGGATTCTAGGTCACCACAGAACTGTATCATGTTCGTGGGGCAGAAGGAGAGGCCCCAAGATAGGACAGACTCTTCTGCTGGGCTAAGAGTATAGCTGGATAGATTAACAATATTGTTGGGTGACTTAAGGGAACCACTTGGGAGACAGGCCAGTCCTTGCTTACAGACAGCCCCCCCAACCTGAAGCAAATACTCACCAGCAACTACACACCACACAACAGAAACACTAACCCAGGAACCAATCCCTGCAAGAAACCCCGTTGCCAACTCTGTCCATATATCTATTCAAGGGACACCATCATAGGACCTAACCACATCAGCCACACCATCAGGGGCTCATTCACCTGCATACTTACTAATGTGATATATGCCATCATGTGCCAGCAATGCCCCTCTGCCATGTACATTGGCCAACCCGGACAGTCTCTACGCAAAAGAATAAATGGACATAAATCAGACATCAAGAATTGTAACATTCAAAAACCAGTAGGAGAGCACTTCAATCTCCCTGAACACTCAATAACAGACTTAAAAGTGGCAATTCTTCAACAAAAAAAACTTCAAAAAGAGACTTCAAAGAGAGACTGCAGAACAGGAATTAATTTGCAAACCGGACACCATCAAATTAGGCCTGAATGAAGACTGGAAGTGGATGGTTCACTACAAAAAGTAATTTTCCCCTCTGCTGATACTCACACCTTCTTGTCAACTGTTGGAAATGGGTGACTTCCACCTTGATTGCATTGGCCTCACTGGCACTACAAAAGTAATTTTCACTCTCTTGATATTCACTCCTTCTTGTCAAATGTTGAGAATAGGCCACTTCCACCTTAATTGAATTGGCCTTGTTGACACTGACCTCCCCACTTGGTAAGGCAACTCCCACCTTTTCATGTGCTGTAATATTTATACAGCTTACTGTATTTTTCACTCCATGCAGCTGATAAAGTGGGTTTTAGCCCACGAAAGCTTATGCCCAAATACATTTGTTAGTCTCTAAGGTGCCACAAGGACTCCTTGTTGTTTTTTCTGATACAGACTAATGCGGCTACCCCTCTGAAACCTGTTTACATAGAAAAGTAATATCAGGAAAGGTTTACTTGTATTTCAATGGTCTTCAATGTAATAATTCACTCTCCCCCCAAAATAGGGACAAAGCACTTCCCACCTTGTCTATTTTGGCTTTTCATTTAATCTTCCCCTGCCTTCCTCATCACGTGTTCTACCCTGGACTTCTAACAGCAACCAGAACAACAGTAGGTATTCCATGGACCACAGACTGGAAACCAGTGGTCTAGAGATTGGATAGGACTCTGGTGTCTGTTCGGGAGGGATGGAAGCTGGGTGCTGAGTCTTATCTTCACCCAGTGCCCGAATGCACTTAAGACCAACATCAGTGCCAAGATTGATCTCAAATTCAGCCAGAAGACTGACTGCACCTCGCCAGGCTATACTGCTTTGCTTATTTATTGGCTTTTTTCCACCCCAACTGTTTTTATTATTATTTTAAATAATTAGCTATTTCCATTCTATTTTTCCCCCCACAAAGTGAATGCTCAATGGATTTCATTGTGCAGGTCATTTGATTCAACAGGGGACAAATTTTGCTTGTTAGACATAGTTCAAAAGGGACAATGCCAATCTAAATGTATCAGGTTTGGCAGTTTACAAATCAATTCTTTCTGTTAGATAGCCTGCTGTCTTGACCAATTGGGAAACAGATTATATCAGATAACTGCACTTTTAATTAGCTGATTGTGACACTCAAGGTTTGAAGGAAAAAAAGAAAATCAATTGGAAGCCGCCAAACTTGGCCAGCTGAGTACACAGGGGCTTTATTGAATTTTACACGTCGTCCTGAAGTGATGCTTTAGTCTGTTGGGCTCCAACAACGGGACCTGTCTTACACAGAATTGACCATTCTGCAGACAGAAGGTTATTTCAGGAGCAAGGGTAGCCAAGTATTTGTTATCAGTGACCTGTGCCAATGTCCATCATGAAAAGTTGAGGAGATGCTTTAAGACATATCAGCCAGTGTCCTATTGTCTGTGATAATGCAGTTATAATTTTACCTTTCCATATTAATGGTTTTATGACAAGATAATTCTGCCAACCAGAATAGCCTGCCTAAAGAATAAGATTTGCAGGTTACTGTCTTAGGTTCTGATTTTCCTCTGTCTTGCACCTCGTGTTATCATTTACATCTGCCCAAAGTGGATCTAAAATGCAACTGCATCAGAAGTGTTTTACATGGTATAAAAGACAACACAAGGTGAAGACAGAGGAGAATCAGGCTGTTGGGCTCTAAGCATATTGTGTTAGATTCTCAGGACCAGTCAAGCTTGGATCATCATAGAATCCAAGAAGGGTGCAGAAGTGTGTTTACAGTTCCTCACTTATGAGGCTGGATCAGCTGCATGCTCAATTTAGAGCAGCCTCAAACTTCATGGCTGCTCTAAGTTGTGTAGGGCTGAAACAAACTTTAAAAATCAGTTCCTGCAGCTGAGCATCACAGGAGCACAACAGCATTGCCCTGATATGCCAGTGGAGGTGAAGTAACTTGTTATGCCAGCTCTACACCACCAGAGGATTTCCCTACACCATTCTCAACTAGCTTATGCAGAACTAGTAGTGCCAAGGATCTGGCCCATCCTTTCCACTTCTCATAGGGCTCAATCCTGCAAGATTAGGGGAACATTCTGGCCCTGATCCAGAAAGTATTTACACACATGCTTAATGTTAATCCTGTGAATACTCCCATTGAATCTAATGTTGATTTGCATGTTGGAGGTAAGCATATTCTTTAAGTTTTTGTTGGATCTGGACCAGAACGCTAAGCACCTTGCAGGATCAAGCCCATAACTGCTAATTATTTAACTAACATTAATTGTGTCTAATAATTTCTGCATCTTTAAAATATCTTATATTTGCATTGTAAAGGATTCAGTAAGGGGCTAAATCCTGCCATCTGTTATACATCAGCTTCCCCATTGGATTTTAATGCTCAATTTGTTAACCTCTGAGGGAAGGCTGTTTAGCATTGAGCTCTTTTTAACTCATTGCATTTGATGATCATTTAATACTTTCTTTTTATTCTGTTTCTCCTTATTAGAAAGCTGTCCGATCATGAGTATAAAGCAAAACATATATTCTTTCATCATAAATACAAATGCTGATTGCCACTTTGGTGCATACTGTGAACTGCCCTTGATATTTGGTATCCAGTAGCTCTGCGTGCAGGTTTCTATTTTGTCTGCTCTTGCTTTGCCTTTCATTGATTAGCTGGGTACAGAAACAGAACTTCTTTGTCACTTCACTGGAAGCTGTCTGGATGGCTACAAAGTGTATCATAGATCAATTCTACTCAGAGGACTGATTGCAACAAAGTCAATAGCAGAGCACGAAAGCACATACGGTATTACAGGAGCAGGAATGAAAGAGAAAAGCAGTACTTTAAAAAAAAAATCCAGCTGAAGCCAAGGTTTGTCAAATATACCATGTTTCAGTACAAGGCCACGTTCCCTGCTTTCATCTGCATCATCTTGTTTTTTTGATGTGCTATCATTTAACAAGACCAGTGACAATCTAAAAGCATCATTAGGGTACTTTTTAGGGACATGATCTCTGGCAGTTCATAGGGCATCAACTTGCTTAAGCAAAGCTGATTTGTCCAGTTCACCTTGCTGGGCTGTTGCTCTGCACATCCTTCTGGGATGACACTCTCGGTTTATTAACTCGCAGTTCACAGATATCTCTTCCTCCCTGCAAACCTTACTTTCTCCCAGTATATTGTTATGATTATGGACTCATTCCAGAACTGTTCCTAAAATACTAATGTAAATACCACGGCTGGAATTAATTAAATATATAAAGCAAATCATGTGAATAGGCAACTAATTTTTGTTGTATTTTTGTATATAGGCTAGCACGGGGGGGTTGGCTTCTGGGCACTACTCTAACCCATACTATTAACACTACTGTTATTATATACACTTCTCTTTCTCCCTCCAGTCCACATGCCCTAGAAATAGCAAATTACTTCTACACCCATCACCTTGAATAGTTAAAAAGAAGGGGAAGAAGGCAGAGACAGGCTGAAAGGAGAAAAAAGGTCCATACAGCTGGATGAAGGTTGAGGTTTTTTGTTTCGTTTTGAAGGTTTTAGTTTTGTGTGTTGTGAACTTTCTGTGTTTTCTTTTTGCAAGTAGCTGGAGAATCACTGAGGATCCATTATATCACTGGAGATCACAAATACCTGCTGAGTCGATCCCATACCTACATGGTTGTACAGCAGGCACTCCTGGAGAGCTGGCAAATGTTTGCTGTAACCAAGATACAAAAGAAAATGTTCTGTGATACTTTCAAGCAGAGAAGCTGTACCCAAATATTTTTCTGTTACGAGGCAAATGGAAGAAAGCAAAGCTGTGGCCCCATGAGACACATTGTGATCTGCAAGTAGGTTTATAGCGTGAATGCCAGGGACCTTGAGGATTTAAGGCTTTCATACACAAGCTCAAGGCCTGTCTATAACGCAGATAGAAGATGAATACCATCCAATTACCCAACTGTGTATGCAGGAGGGTATCCTTCCTGTACAATGTCTCTCACAGCACGCATTGATGCTCATATTTAGAGACCGACATATTTTCAATGCAAAAAAAAATCTATCAAAACAAACAGTAGACAAACACTACAAGCCAATTGCAAAAAAATGGACTATGATGAGTCTCCATTCAATAGTTCATGATTTAGAAAAGTGTTCACCTTGAAACAGTCAATATGTGCCCTACCCATGGATATTTAACAGAATACCTCACTTATAGATTAATTAACTGTACAAACAATTAACTGCATATCATATGTAAAGACTAAATATCCTCTAGATGGCTTCAATTAAAATACTCTATCGTTCTCCACAACTTATGTTGTGAGATGAACAGCTCCACGGATTATAAAGAAATCCTTTATGCATCATTTTATAAATGTCACCAAGTGCAGATCCTCACTGATATATATATATGCATTTCTAACTGAAAAGTTGCTGAAGGAATACATGTATAAAATATAAAAGAAAATAATACACTTGGTGGCTGTTGAAGCTCAGAAGCATGAGATACATACTGATCTACAGTAAAAACCTTTCACTCATTTTCTGGAAGGCAAATGAGGTTCAAATTAAAGATTTTAGCCTTCTGTGCCTTTAGCCTTTACTAAGATAACAGCTCTGGAGCTATCCTAGCATGAAGGTAACATCTGTCATGTTATTCCTCCAAAAAGTGTAATATCCAATATTATTTCTAATGAAATACTTAAAGAGTGGTTTAAAGTGGTTTTTCCCCAGCCATGCTTCATCTAGTCTATCCTTAGGTATGGCCAAGCTCTGCTGGGGGCAGGGCCCTGGGGGAATTGAGAGAAAGGTGGCTGTACATCACATCTACATTCCCTGCCCTGATCTGGGGATTAACCAGAGTTGGTTCAGTCTTCAAAAGAAGTTAATATGCTGCTTGAACTCATGCTTGGCTGCATTAGTCCCAAAGGCGTCATTTCAGTAGAGAGAACTCACCGGAGTGCAGTGATGCTCCCTCACTCTGTCATGCTCCCAACACACACCGCTACACTAGGACGGGGTGACATTGGCCTACTTCTACTGGCCCAGTGCCATGCAGGGATTCTCGTATGATAAGGGAATTCTCAGATGGTTAGCTAAGCTGGCTTTGCAGCTACTTTGCACAGGCTGATTGATGCAATGCAGCCACAGTGGGGGCCAAAATATCCTTGGTGTTTCTTTGTAGCTAATGAACACTAATCTGGTATTATACATATAACACAAAAAACCCTCTTAATGATTTAATATGAAGTTAAATGGACACAGAATGCTAAGATAGAGCATTCTAAGGGCAATGTTAGAACACTGCCACAGGTCAGTGAATTCTCTGACTGGGGGCACCACAGTAGTGGATGGACCAGGGAAAGGTGCAGAAGTGCACCTAAGGTTATTACCCCCAAATTCTAGTGTGTGGAACAAAGGAGAAGGCTTGCAGGTTCAGCAGTGGGAGGAGGTGGGCATTTCCTTGGGAGTGGTGTTGCTAAAGGTGCAAAAGAAGACTTTTACTGAAATAATGGAGGACATGGATCAGTGTTCATGATGCATTCCCTATCAGTACCTGGCCAAAGTCGGAGAAGCTAATGATCCAACCAGCAGACCAAATTTGGTGATGAATCTTGATCCTATCCCTAACCCTAACCCTGAGGCACATAGCACTAATGCTAAGAAAAAGACTGAAATAACATCTTGGATTATTCCTCCCCCACCCCAACAGAACACCAGCTTAATTCAGGGCTGCTTCTGAACTGCCTGTGAACGGAATCTCAAACCACCAGAACCAAGGGCTCTTGGAACACCGAACTTCTTGGAGATTTTTCCAATGTTTCATTTGAGAAATGTTTTTCCCTTGCTGTTTTTACATTTTTTTCTTCTTGTTGTTTTCCACACACAAAAAATCTTGATGTTTTTGCTGCCTCTGGGTGTTACAGAAGACTCAGAAATGTCCAAAACAACATAATCTGTTGCTTCTTTTTAAAGGAGGCAACACACTTGGGTGAGAATGCCCTCAGGCTAAAGTTTGTCTCTAAGTGAGCAAGCTGAACCACTAATGCACAAAAAGTTTTGTTGTTGTTGTTTTCCCCATCTTTAGCCATGCTGGGTATATCACCCAAGAAGTAATAAGAGCTGATTTGTTCTAAAATTTTTTGCAAGTATATAACAGCAGTAGTTTTAAATTTTGTATTAACTTAAAATTAATTGAGTTGTGCGTTCTTAAGGTCTGTTAACATCTGAAAGGTTTAATTGTAATTTTTGTAATGTTTCATTACATAAAATATTGCAAATCCCAATTTCAGGACAAGAAATTTGTGAAATTTAAAATATAACCACGTACACCTTTTTCTTTTCCTTTTTTCTATATGTTTAAACTATAATAAGGTTTTCCTTTGTCATTGTGATTTTATGAACAAATATCTAATCATAGGAGGAGTTAGTTATTAAAAGAGAGGGACTATGTTGTGATAATTGGCCCTATACATTTACCCTAGTTGTGAGTTCAACTCTAAAAAGTATGTAAAATTTTGTGAGGCATCTCAATAATCTGTAATAACAAATGTTGACGTGAAACAGTATGAAAGGGAGATAGAAAAACTGAATTAGTCTAAATAAAAAAGCCGAGGGTATAACTCAAGGACGGTATTAAGATCATGCTTGGAAAACAAGAAAATGTGGGTCTAGAAATCAGTGAACCAAAACTGGTGTTCAGAAACTAAGCCTAACTGGTAGACAAAATAATAAGGAGATGGTTGAGAATTTGAAGGTGGAAGACAGCTTGGGTGAAAGTGATCATGAAATGATAGAGTTCATGATTCTAAGCAATGGTAGAAGGCTGACTTTAGAAAACTCAGAGAACTGGTAGGTAAGATCCCACGGGAAGCAAGTCTATGGAAAAAAAAGAGTTCAGGAGCATTGGCAATTTTTAAGAGACTATATTAAGGGCAAAAGAGCAAACTAACCCAATGCACAGGAAAGATAGGAAGTAAGATACTAGACCACTCTGGCTTACCCAAGAGATATTCAATGACCTGGAACTCAAAAGAGAGTCTTACAAAAAAGTGGAAACTAGGTAAATGACAAAGGATTAGTTTGAATAAAACCTACAAGCATGCAGGGGCAGGCACAAAATGAGATTAAACTAGCTAGGGACACAAAGGGTAACAATTAGAAGCAAGAGGAAGATCAAGGATATGGTAGGTCCATTACTCACTGAGGGAGGGAAGAGAATAAAAGAAAACACATCAATGGCCAAAATGTTAGATGCCTTTCTTATTTCAGTTTTCAGCAAAAAAGGGTCAGCAGTGATTGGACAACTAATACAGTGAACATCCATTTAAATGGTGTAGGATCTTAGGCTAAAATAAAGAAAGAACAAGTTAAGAATAACTTAGACAAGTTAAAAGTCTTAAAATCAGCAGGGTCTAATGAAATACATCTTAGAACATTTAAGGAACTGGCTGGAGAGATCTGAGTCATTAGTGATTATCATTGAGAACTTGCGGGGGATAGGAAAGATCCTAGAGGACTAGAAAAGTGCAAATATATTACCTATCTATAAAAAGGGGAATAAGGACAACCCACGGAATTAGAGACCAGTCAGCTTAACTTCGGTACCCAGAAAGATAATGGAGGAAATAATCAAACAATCAAACCCAGAAGATAAGGTGATAAGTAACAGTGAACATGGATTTGTCAAAAACAAATCATGTCAATTCAACCTAATATCCTTTGTGTAGGTAGGGAGGAAGCAATAGATGTGATATATCTTGACTTTAGTAAAGCTTTTGATATTGTCTCATATGGCCTTCTCATAAGCAAACTAGAGAAATATAGCTTAGATGAACCTGTTATAAGGTAGGGGCACAACTGGTTGGAAAACCATACTCAGAGAATAGTCATCAATGGTTCACACTGATATTGAATAGAGCCAGACCCAGTGCAGATCTCTGTGGGACCTCATTCAATATGCCCTTCCACTCAAACTGGTTTAAAAGTCTAGAAAATATGACCTATGAGGAAAGATGAAAAAAATTCAGTTTGTTTACTCTGGAGAAGAAAAGACTGAGGGGGACATCATAATAGTCTTCAAGTATGTAAATGGGTGCTATATAGAGGCGGGTTATAAATTATTCCTCTTATATACTGAGGACAGGAGATGTAGTAATAGGCTTAAATTTCAGCAAGGGAGATTTAGTTTAGAAATTAGGAAAATCTTCTTAACTGTAAGGGTAATTAAGCACTAGAACAAATTTCCTAGGGAGATGGTGGAATCTCTGTCACTGGAGGTTTTTAAGAACAGGTTAGACAAACACCTGCCAGTTATGGTCTAGATTATACTTAGTCCTGCCTCAGTGTAGGTGACTGGACTAGAAAACATATCAAGATGCCTTCCAGTCCTACATTTCTATGATTCTATCATAGGCTATACCACGCATCACTCCTTTTTTGGGTCTTTAAAGAAAGAGACTTTGTGGGGGCGGAGGAGATATGGAAGAATGCACATAAGCAACTGGAGTGAACTTCACCATCGTGGCTACCACCCTCACCATTTTCTGGGACTCTGGGCCTTCGTCACCCTGATCCTGAGATGTCCTGACCAGATGGAGCTAAAGAGAAAGGGACCCCAGTAATATCATCGCCCCTACCAGCTCCATCTGAATCCCAAACATCACCTGAGATGACTTGGGATTGGCCTTTAACAGCAGCAACAGCCCCAGCTCAGCTCAACTAGCTCCTTCTCTTTTACCCAAAAAGCCAGATATTTACCATCTTTGATACCATCGAAGAGCCTGTCAGACAAGGGTTTTTGTCCCCCTAAAACTCTCTCCAGGGAAAGGGAAAAGGAACAAGTGTTGTTGTTAAAACAACAGCCTTACTTAATATTTTACATTTCAAATGTTTCAACTATGTTTCCTTCTTTTCTTTATCTTTATTAAAGGGTTTTAAAGGATTTTAATAGGCACTTGCCATGCTACTAAGCAGGCTGAGATCTGTGTATACCAAACCCTGAACCTTGTTTAGCACTGTTTAATGTTGGACTGGGTTATGTTAACGCTTTTGGCCCATATATTTCA